TCATAAATTGTAAAAGGTTATATTTTGGGTCCCTCTTCAACATTGTTGAAGGGCCCTCATCTGTTTGGAGCCATCATCTGCCACTTGCTTCATTATCTCGCTTTCGGGGCCATTTTTGCATGCTAGCTTAGCCCCATTTGTGTTCACTATTTGGCCTTGCTTAAAACTATAAACATGCTTTTTTTGGGGCTGCCTTGGATCTTTCTTCACATTTCATGTTCAAATAATGCATGTTTTGTATAGCTATAGGTCATTGCGTATGCCTAATTTTGCATTTCGGGTACCATTTCATGCATCGGGTGCCATGTTTCCATGATTCAGGGCTATTTTGGGTCATATTTTAGCGCTGAAATTTGCATGCTAATATGCCATATTCCATGTTTTGCCATGTCTTGTTAGAGTGGCATTTCGTGCCTTAGGGTCGGTCCTCGATTTGCGTGCATGCGTGCGCGCATCTCGAGTTGTCTCATTTTCATCGTATGGCCTCCTATGTGAGTGTGGCTGAGGTCCCCTTGTGTTAGTGTAAGTCCATTATCGCATTGTGTATGCCATTTCATTCCATAGCGTTGTGTCTGCTAGGTTGTATGTTAGCGCATTGCGTATGCCATGTTATCTCGTGCATCATGTATGCCATTTCATAGCATGTTGCATGTTAGGTTGTATATTAGTTGCATTCATGCATATCATGCATATTGCATTGTGCTTGGGATAGGAGTTAGCCCGAGCACGGGAAACGAGGGACGTTTTGTACTTCGAGTGACGGAACGTGTCTCAATTCCCAGTCACCGACACTCCGGATTATCCATGATGGAGTTAGGTTTTAGTTGAGTTTTCGTGTGCATCCATTCTATATTGAGTAGTGCAATTCGACTCCTCGGCCATCATGCATCGGGATGCGTAATTGGTGGCACGAGGATCGAGGCATACATACATTTGTGAAAATACATTGCTATGTCCCTTTCCTACTCTCTGTTGCAGCAGATCAAGAATCAGCAGTCTTCCGGGGCTTGGCGCGCTTTCCAAGAACCATTCAAAACAAAGGCTAATTGGGGCATCCAGTGGATTTCCGCGCAAGACAGCCCAAACATACATTATTCATCAGAGTCGAGGCAGTCCCTGACTTGCATGCCATGTTTATAGTTTTCTTGATTAATTTGTAAATTAATTAGGATTTTTGTATTTATTCGGGACTGTATTATTTAATCATTCGGGACTGTATATTATTTATTCGGACCCTCTGTGCGGGGCATAATTGTAATAAGTGTGCGTGTGTGTGATGCATGTCTTCCAACCCACGTCTTTCTCCCTTTATTTACCCGCTTATGATGGTTAGATTAGGCATGTTTCAATTAGCATACAGTATGATAGCATGTTTGCATTCATTCATCTGTATTGCATGCACCGGGCTCGGCGCATCATACTAACTGCATTGTATTTTCAATTCTAAGTTGAATACATGTTAGTTGTTGCATCTCATATGCCATGTTTAGAATAGCCGAGCCTGCTATAGTTGCATTTTTGCATGTGTTGCATTAGGCATTTCTGTGTAGTTAGGATCATGCATGGATTTCTAATCAGCTTCTGTTTTGGCTTGGAGTACTCGGTAAGTTTTATGCTTTAGCATCCTTGCATGCATGTGAGTGACTGCCATGAATAGCATGCTTACCATGAGACTATATGCTTATGTGATATAACTGTCTGAATGCCTGTAGGTGAAGGTTGGGTTATTTGAATTGGAACAATTCATCAAATGTGTGTTTTAAGCCCACTAGATAGTGGCAAAATCATGTTTTTCTAAGCCCACCGAGGGTGACAAATCCACGTCTTAGCCTACTTGCGAGTAGCACCATCAAACCATTTTCACTTTTTTTCTTTCAAAATCTGTTTGGCACTTCTTTTGGCACTTCTTTTCTTTCAAAATCTGTTTTCTCAAAACGATTTGCCAGATTTGGACTCTTTGGTTCAGATTTAGAACCGTGACAATTTGAGAGTCCTGAACTGTAGTGAACCCCAAATGAACAGAACGGGGGGACTCGTTCCTCTCCCGGGGCGTTCGGGGACGTCTACAGGAATCAAGTTGAGCCATCAAACACCTGAAAGTGTGTAACTCATGATCCTAAGAAAGAGTATTGTGCTCACGAGAAGTACTAATAGCAATATCAGACACATACGTTTGGAGACGAGCTATACTACCACGACCCCAAGTATAATAGCCATTCAATTTCCAACAATGCTCTCAATCATGTATGTCTTTTCCACAGTAATCACACTTCAATCGATCTCGATAAACTAGTGTACCCTACTGCTAGACTAAACTAGACTAGGCCTAGGAGCTCGAATGGGAAGAGCAACAACCAAAGTAGAACGATCTTGAATAAATGAATGAACCATAGCATACTCTTGTTTGACAAGAGCATAAGGCTTGCGTAGGGTGGGAAAATGTGAATGACCCAATACTTGGATGCAAATTTGACCAAACTCCAAATTAAAGCCAACAAGAAAGTCATACACATGCTCATTTTTTACGGTTTGCTAAAACAAAGTGGCATGTTTGGAACAAATAACCTGGAAACTCTGGTAATAATCTAGTTCCTGCCACAAATTACTCAACTAGCATAGTATACCGCGAGTGATCTACCCTTCTGATCTAAGTCCCGAAGCTTCTTCTTCAACTTATGCGCATGTGCATCATTACCCTGTTGGGAGTACACCTAGACTATAATTGCCCAAATCTTATGAGCAGTATCCAATAAGAGAAAACTCTGTCTAATGGTAGACTGCATAGAATTGGTTAGCCAAGTCACAATTAGAGCATTTTCAAAAATCCATTGAGTACGCAAGGAGTCATCATCAACCGATTGGGGAAGAGAACCAGTAATGTAGCCGGTCAAACGCGAATAGCAATAGTGAGACTAAAAAATAAATAAATGAGAATTCAATATATTTTTTGTATTCTTGTGTATTTATTGATTTTTTAAAATACTTTTTTACAAATATTTTACATTTTAGATACATCTAAATAAGGCACATCTAAGTAAGGTGCATATAAAAATGTAAAAAAAAAAATTGCTTAAAATTTTAAAAATATTTACTAAAATAAAAAAAAATACAAAAAATAAAAAATTCAATTATCAAAAAATTAAATTCAAAAAATTGAAACCAAAGAGTGAATAGAATTATCTTTGGCTTCTTCTAGCAACTCACATACCCAATAGCCACCGGTTTTCCTCTTCTCTCTCTATCTCTTTCTCTTATCTACAACATTTGGCAACTTAATATTTTAATTTAAAAGTTAAAAAATTACTAAAAAAATTAAAAAGTCAATAACTTACACTAAAAAGTTAAATATTTAATTTTCTCTCTACTTTTTACACATTTTTTCATAAAAAACTAAAAAAACATTTAAAAATATTAATTTTTTATTCATATTTTAATTAGAAAATAAAAAATTATTAAAATAACTTGATTTCCAAACGGGACAAAATCCAAACACAACATTCAATACTATACCAAAAGGCAACCCCACTTGTCAGATATGTCCTACCACAGACACATCAAAGAGGCTTGTGCTTCGACCAAATATCCCCACCACCATATCATATGTTCAAACACGAGTTTGGATCCCTTGCCGCCTTTCTCTACGGTGCCCCAAAACGACGTTGTTTTAGGGCAAATTTTTTTTTTTTATAAAAAAAAGAGCACAAAATTAGAGAATAGAAAGAGGGGAATATGACCATCTGTGTCTACCATGACTTACCAAGAACACAAGCTCTGTCGTCGTCCAAAATGGCCATGGTCATCCAAAGAATAATTTCCCAAGAACACACAGAATAATTTGGACAATCCAAAATAGCCATGGTCATCATCTAAAATGGCTATTTTTCCCAAGAACACAAAGAATAATTTCATCATCATCAACAACAACAATAACTAAAAAAAAATAAAATTAAGACCCAAAAAAAAAGAAAAAAAATAGAGAGAGAGATAGAGAGAAAGCTGAGTAAGATGAAGCAAAAACACAAAGAACACAAAGAATAAACCCAAGAACTGATATAAATGGGATCTATAAACCCAATCAACATAACTGAGATTCACGAAAATTGATATAAACCCAAGAACACTAATATAATTTCATCATCATCATCATCATCATCAACAATAACTTTAAAAAAAAAAAAAGTAGAGAAAGAGAGAGACTCGGATACTCCAACCGATTCCCCCGCCGCCACTGGAGCTCACCGTTGTTTGTCGACACGATCTCAGATCTAGAGACGTGGTGGTGAGGTCGAACCCTTCAATGATCATCGACTGGTTATAGATAGATAGATAGATAGATAGATAGAGAGAGAGAGAGATTCTCAATCGGCAGCGACGGAAAGAGAAGAGTTTGACAGTCGGGGAGTTCGCCGGCGAGAGAGAAAGAACTCTTTTCCTCTGTGCTTTTTTCGTTCTTCTTCTTATTCTTTCCTCTCTCTTCCTCTTCTTTCTTATTTCTCTCTTTCTCTATGATTTTGTGTTTTTGTTTTTTTTTTGAAATTTTGCCCTACAACGATATCGTTTTGGAGGCGCTGCAGGAACCACCGCAGAGAAAGGCAGCAAAGGATCCAGAGTCATTCAAACACACATTCGCTCCATTTAGGATAAAGGTTGAGGTTAAAATAGTTATATTTTATCTAGTTAAGGGATGACTTGAGATATTTTAAATAAGTATATTTTTTGATTTTTATAAAAAATGTATAGAAATTAGTTAAAAAATAGAGAGAAAAATGTTGATAGATGTGATCAAAATAAGTATATATATGCTAAAAAAGTATATTTTTTTAATTTATCCCAACCACCTACTAAATAGAATAAAATGTCATGTCTAACTCATAATCATTTTATTTTTTTTCTTATAAAAATTTAAAAAATCAAAAAATATATCCCAACCAAAATATTTTGACCCCAAATTAAATTAAAATAATCAAAAATCTAAAAAAACAAAAAAACAACCCCATCCCAAACAAACCCATTTTCATCACCATCTTTCCCATTTCCATTTCTATCTCTATTGTCTCTCCACATTTTTTCTCTCTCTCTCTACCCAGAACCGTCTCTCCCTCGCTTTTCTCATTCTCTACTCATGTAAACCCTACATCTCTACTCATGAATCAAATAACAAACAAATTTTTTTATCTCCTTTGTTCGATTTTTCTCTCCAGTGGTGGTGGCAGAGTTATGTTGGCAGCTGAGGCTACGTAGAACTCTCTCCTCTCTGATTGAATGTGAAACCACGAATGAGCTCGGTATGGGAATCCGATTCCTGACTCCAGAAGCTAAGCGAAGCTAACTTTTACGTAGTGTTATTGATGCATACCATGTGTTTGATGGTAGGTCTAGCATATGTGCGACGATGTTGAGGAACGCTGTTGGTCAATCCATGTTGATTGGGGCCAGGCATTATTCCAGAGTATCACCACCACCACCTGCTCGCATTGAACCAGTCCTTCGAGTATCCAACAACATAGTCCATTTGGGTCCTCCAAAGGAAGGCCCAAAGCCTCGGCAGCTCCTGTCTTTGCCGCCATTCCCGGCACACCCTTTGCCTGTAAAGGATCCATCTACTACTACTACTACTACTCGTGGGAAGCCCTCGCATATCACTGCGATTAGTTGGGTCAAGTATTACTTTGATCAAGTCCCCAGCTCTGTCATTCAATCCCATTTCAACAAGGGCCTTGTGAGTATAATTATATTAATTTGTCTTCATTTAAGTTCTCATTGCAAGAATAATTTTTTTCTTTTTCTTTCTTCTTCTTCTTCCAAAATAATTCATATCAAACAAAAGTTGGTGCAATATATTGGTGTGAATCCTATCAAGAAATGGAAAAGGCACATATTAATTTGATTTCATTATTTTTATTTCTTTTGGTATATATAAAAAAAATTACTTACTTATTCCCTAAGCTTGAGATTTTGAAAATTGTCACATTGTTCATTTGGGTGTATTTGTCCATTTCTCCAGATTTGACACCTAAGTAGTGTTGATCACATCATTAGATACTTTTCTTGTAATTGGACGGTATGAAAATTTGCAGTTTGATTTCTTCATCTTATAGGTTCAAGTGGAATGTCTTGATTCCAATGACTCATCCATCCAAAATGGACAAGCAAAACCTATGAGAAAGGTAAAGAAGCTTGCTTATTTAGCCCATCGTTGGTCATAGTTTTACTAGTGTCAGCTCCACTGCAGATTTTCGAAGGAGAATAGATGTTGTTATTGCCATTGTTGTATGTTTGTGTCTGCCAGTGCACCTGTTCATATGGACTTTATTGTTTCTTTTTCCTTATGCACTCTATTTCTGTGGATTTAATTATTCAATAATTCTACAGCTAATTTACAGATTAAGCATAATGAGGTCATGGAGGTGGGGGCAAGAGTTTATATACCTGTATCAGTTGCAGAATCTAGAATCTCCAAGAGATTTGACACTATACCAAGTGGAACACTACATCCAAATGCCGATGAGATAGAGTACTTGCAGAGGCTTGTCAAATACAAGGCATGCCTTCAGTTTGAACTTTTGATTATCTTATTTAATGTTGCTGGGAAATGTAAATGAATTGCAGGTCTTTATCTTTTTTGCCATTGATTATCAGTATTTGAATATCAAGCAACACATTGGGAGTATAATGTGTGGAAGTGTCCTAGATGGGGGAAGGGTGCATAGGACAATTTGCAGTTTAATCTCTTTTTTTGATGAATTGTTCAAGAATTATATCATTTAATTCCCTTTTAATCGAATTTGTATTGACTTGACTGACAAGCTCAAATGAATTGTATGTATTCAGCTCATGCATTCATGTCAAGATATATTAAATTAAGTGTAAGAAATGTAAAGAGAATGAAATACGGATTTATAGTAGCTTGTTTCCTCCAAAAAGAAAATAAAAATAGTGGTTTGGAACAACCCTTGTGTCCATATCCACTCGTATTCTACCTTGCTGGTTTTAACTCCATTAAATCAAATGGGTTTCCCTAGGTTCACCCAAAACTTTTACATCTATATGTTTTTCTTAGGACAACCAAAAACCTTTACAATAACTCAAAGAAAGAAATAGTTTTCTTGGATCAACTTGATTCTCGAACCATCAACCAACAATACAATTCTAAGCATACTTGAATAGTTAAGCTAACTCATTATTTCCCATCGACCTTTGTGAAGATATGTGAAGGGTTAGTGTATATAACCAAAGAAGTATAACACTAGGCTGAAAGGGCATACCTCCAAAAAAATTCTCAAGACTTTAATAAAGCAAGCTCTCAAACACTGAAGTGCAAGGAAGGCTTCCCAAGCTCATACACACTTATAAAAGGTTGAAATTTTTATGAGATGTGATTGAGAGTGTATAAGAACTGTACAGACATCTCAAGAGATAATTTTCATCAATCTTTATCGAGCGTAGGGTCGCTTTTTTAAAGAGCTTTAAAAAACAGTTAGTCCAATAGCTAGTTTTTTTTTTATTTTTTATTTCGCACTCATGAGCTGACCCATGGTGTGCTGTGGTCGGCTTACAAAACATGGAGCTATAACTGAGAAATCATTTTAGGTTGGTCCATAGCCTACTGCAGAGTAATACCTCACTATAGATTTCTAAAAGCCTACCATGGTCAACCAACCTATTTGGCTGGCTGCCAATGACCTAAGACACTTGTTGGACCAGACTCTGATGCTAGTCAACAAGGATGACCAAATGGACAACTTTGTCCACTCTTCAACGTCTTCCCAGTTCCCTTGTCCAAAATGTTCTGACATTAATGAAGCTCTCCTATAGCATTTTGCATGCAAATGAAGAACTCCCATAGCATCCATGCTTCCAAGGCTTCAAGGTTTATCCAATGTGCTCTCCAAAGTAGTGGTGGCTTGGACTCTATCTAAGATGAACGTTATATAATCATGAATTTTTCAGTTAACTTAGATATGACAGAATAGCTAGCTACTTCTGCATGTGCACCATTTGTAGATTTGTGGAGTTAGGTGACAATTAAGTTCTTTCATTAGTTATTGCTTCTTTGTTCATGGTAGTTCTTAAATTTTCAGGATTCTGCTATTCTTGTGCTAAATAAGCCACCCAAGTTGCCAGTAAAGGTTAGCATCTCTTGGCGCCTACTCTTTGCACAGTTTGCTGCTTCTATGCATATTCTTTTGCTTTTTAACTTGTGATTATTAACATAGTTATGTTGTAAGGGAAACCTCCCGGTGCATAACAGCATGGATGCCTTGGCAGCTGCAGCACTGTCTTACGAGTATGATGAGGGTCCTAAATTGGTAAGCTTCTTACTTTGGATAACTGCTGTGAAGTGGGAAGGTTAATAAATTGAAAAAACATACACCCTGTCTGGCGCAATTTTCTGTAAAGGAAGTCCTTCATCGAAAAGGACTTTAATAAAGGGACTACATAAGGACTTTGAAAAAAGGACACATGTTTGGTGAATTTTTTTGGAAGTCCTTTGAAATTAAGATGTATTGTTACACAGTCCTGGGTAGAAGTTAACCTTAAAAGCTAGCTATTGAGGTGAGAGTGCCATCACGTTTATATGCTTAATATTACTTTAGTACTCTGGCGATTTGGGACTTCGCTTCACACCCTCCCTCACGTCTATCATGCTCACTCGGCAGCGCCTGTAACGTGCAGGCCAGGGACACGCACCCTACCCACCCCTGTATTCCGGCTTCATGTGTATACCATGTAAAAAAACTTCTGATGGCAACATTTTAGAAGTACCAAATAGCTTTCCATTAGTGTTATTGTTAGCCTCCCTCATTCTATAAATTACTTGAATCCATTTATTTGTTATAGAAAAACACATTGTGGGTTGATGCTATGGAGGAGGGGACATGTGAGAATATACAATCATACATGCCTAATATAGAAGATATATGGAATATATACTAATATATGTAAGAAATCTGAATGAATAATTCTTGTATATTCAATTGTAATCTTTACAGAGCATACATCCGTTTATATAGCCCTAAAACTAAAACTAAAAAAGGAAAATCAAATATCTACGCAATCAAAGGAATATCTACACAATCAATACCAATATACAATCATACATGCCTAATATAGAAGACTAGCGAATGACCCGTGCCTAAAGGCACTCCCAACGCAAACAACGCTCGTTAGACATAATGCACATTAAAAAATAAATAAATAAAATTTCAAAGATTAACAATTATATATTTCAATAATGCAAGTTAAATAATCTAATTTAAGGACAATATTCTAATATAAAATTTAGAAGAATGCTATTCATCACTTTTTTTTTTCACCATTTATTTCACTTCTTAAGTATATTGATGTAATCAAAGTCATGTGTATGTGTAGGATCCATATTATTTAATAAATAATGGAACTAACCAATCTAAATAGAAAATCACCTAGGAAGTGAATAGTTCGAGCATAATGTTTTAATGATATATAATAGCCCTCTAATATTTATAGCTATAAAAGTGGCAACTTATACAAACTAGCAATATTAACCATTTAACAATAATGGAATGTAAAAAATATAACTCTTTTAACCTTTTAAAAATTTGACAAATTAAAAATGGCAAAATCAGTGTAAAATTTAAGATACTATACAATAGTAATCAAATAGAAAATTACACTCTTAAATTAAATATTGCTATGCCAACTTAATTAATGGCACACCTAAACAATGACATTTACCACATTCAAGCTCTCCAATGGAGCTATGAGAACAAAGTTGAGAACACAATAAAGCCACAAAGTGAACATTAAAGATCCAAGCTGTCAACTTATCTCATAAACCTACCACTTGTAGCACATCCAAGCCCACTGTGTTCATAAGCCCTTATATAACACAAAAACACATTGATAGGTTTACGAAGCAACAACATTCAAACTATTCTAGTCTATATAATAAAACACAATGATTTTTAAAAGTGTCTCTCTCACACACTTGGTTAGTAACTAAAGCATTGAACGAATTATTTTAACATTTGAGGATTTTAAGAAAATAAACATATATCAATTTCAACAGTTCAATAATTAATTAATCTAATAAATTAATATATTTCATCTTGTAATGAAAAACAATTAATGAATCTAATAAACACAAAATAAGAGAGGGATATTGGGGCTGATTTCAATGATCCAAAATGTTAATTTTTTGAAGTATATTGAGTAGAATATACCTGCAACTTGCAAGAAATTAAATTGATCGGATATCGGCAGCCCTTTCATCAAAGCATATTTGTATCTAAAAAAATGAATAATAAGTGTAATTTGAAATATAAAACTAAATACAAATGTATTTTGATGAAAGGGTTACCGATATCTGATCATCTAGATTTTTTGTAGGTATATTATGCTCGATATACTCTAAAAGTGAACGGTTTGGATCATTAAAATGGGCTTCGAAATGGGTCCATTAATCTATTCTTTGAGATATGGGGCGTGAATGTTGGGAGAAAGGTGCTAGGAAGTTGCTTTGAGTGGGAAATTTATTTTGATCCAAGTAAATCCAACCGTCAATTAGATAGATGGGTTAATCTCAGTTGTTCTAACCAATTATAAGAGATAGACATTTTTAAAAACAAAGCTGCTTTATTATATAAATATATGGAATATGTACTAACGTATTCTTACAATCTTGTTCAAACTCAAGGTGTTTTAGCAAAAAACACGGAGAGTTTGTCTAATAGAAACTGAAACAGAGCAGTAGTGTGAGTTTTGGTAAATAAATCAGCAAGTTGCAGAGTGGTAGAAATGAACGGAAGCAAAATAGAGCTAAACTACAAATGTTGGCGGATGAAGTAACAATCAATCTCAATGTGTTTCGTTCACTCATGGAAAAATAGTGTTATGAGCAATCTAAGTAGCATTGTGGTTGTCACAGTAGAGAGAAGTCGGAGAGGATTAAGGAACACCCAAATCAGACAAGAGACAACGAAGCCAGACAATCTCTGCAGTGACATGAGTTGTAGTACGGTACTCAACTACTGTAGTAGAACGAGCAACAATAGTTTGTTTCTTGTTTTTCCAAGAAATCAAGGAATCATCAAGAAATATACAAAAACTAGAAGTGGACTTTCGATCATTAACATCACCAGCCCAATCAGCATTAGCAAAGACCCCTAAATCCAAAGAAGAAGTGGATGATAACAGTAAACCGTGAAATATAATATCTCTAAAATAGTGGGGAATTTGAACCAAGGCTGCCCAATGCATGGAACGAGGAGCAAAGACAAACTAGCTGACTACATGAACAACATAATCAAGATTAAGGAGAGTAACAATTAGATTGACCAAGCAACCAATAAGCTCGTGATAAGAGGTGGGATCAGCTAGTGGAACACCATCAATATGATTAAGCTTCACATTTAGCTTAATCGGGATATTAAAAATCTTAGTGTCAGTAAGACCAGCATGGTGAATAACTTCATTTTCATACTTGGCTTGAGACAGAAAATCCTTAGGAGAAGAAGAAGCTACTTGAATGTTAAGAAAATATTGCAATCGGCCTAGATTTTTCATTTTGAAGGTACGAAAGAGATGCTGCTTGATCTCAGAACTAATAGAAGAGTTAGAGTCAGTGATGATCATATCATCTACATAAAGGTATAGCGGTAAAACAAAGCAAAATCCTGGGTACAAGGATGAAACCCAGGTTGAGTAACAACCAGTTGAAAGTGATCATACTGAGCCCAAGGAGATTGCTTCAAACCAACCATAAAGAGCACGCAGTATATGACAAACCTGTCTAGAGGAACGAGGAAGGCTTGGTGGAGGACACATGGAGACCTCTTTGGTGAGCATTCTTAACATCCATCTGATAGAGAGGCCAATGACGGGTAGCAGTTATAGAAATCAAGGTACGAACAATAGTCATCTTAGTGACAAGGGCAAACGTCTTCTCATAATCAAGACCATACTTTTGTGACAAATCTTTGACAACCAGGCGAGCTTTGTAGCACTCAAGAGAACCATCAAAATGAATCTTTTACTTTATAGATCGATTTGCAACCAACCAGATTTTTGCTAGCAGGCAAATGAACCAACTCCCAAGTAGTAGTCTTTTGCAATGTAGTAACTCATCCTCCATAGCTCGAACCCAATTAGGATCTTGACAAGTTTCCTTGTAAGACTAGGGTTCTAAAAAGAAGTGAACAACAGACAAAAAAGTGCAGTGTGAAGGAGAAAAAACAGGTATTAGAAAAACCAAATTACCACAACCTTACGTTGATGAAGGGGATACTGACAAACATTAGGATTAATGTCACCAGAAGAAAGAGGATCAGCATCAGGGAAGGAGACATCCGATGGGAGAAGGTCTTGCAATGAGAATAAACTAACAATGGAGGAGCAGAGGGGGAAATAGGAGGAGAAGAGGGAACAAGCTCATTGTTAAGATTGGGATCCTACATAGGATTGTTTTGGGGGTCTTTCGGATCGGATCGGATCGTAGGAATGGATCGAGGATCGTAAGATCTTACTAAAATGATAAAAAAAGCAATCACCATGTTTGTTTCTAATTTTTTGAAAACACTTTTCAGAAAATTCTACTTTCTTGTTTTCCGCATTTTTTTTTTGTTTTTACTGAATTTTTTTAATATTTTAAGTAATTTTTTTAATTTGTAGACACACCTAACATAAATACACTTAAAAAGTATAATTTTCGTCAAAAAAATCTTTAAAAAATTCACTAAATACCAAAAATATAAAAAAATATGAAAATTCAGTATATTTTTCGTATTTTTATGTATTTATTAATTTTTAAAAATATATTTTTCACAAATATTCTACTTTTTAGATTCATCTAAGTGACGTGCATCTAAAAAAGTAAAAAAAATGCTTAAAATTTTAAAAATATTTACTAGAAACAAAAAATATATGAAAAACAAAAAACTCAGTTTTCAAAAAACTGAATTTAGAAAACTGAAACCAAACACACTGATAGTTTTTTATATGATGAAGTAATACTATCAAAATGTATATAGAATGACCCCCAAAACATGAGAATGTAGTTCAAATGGTAGAGCTCTCACACTTGCTTCATAATTTGCTGAATTATAAAGTTTAGTATGAGCAGATCGATGTTCAAATCCTTGCATTTTCACTTGTAAGGAATTTAAATTATCATTCTAGATCTTTTGTTAACAAAGAAAACATAATAAAGAAGAATAGCAATTCAAGGTATCATTCAAACATTTTTTGCCAAAAAAAGAAATCAAAAGCATAATAAAAGAATATACCAACACTTGCACAACATTCTCATTGTTTCTTATGAAAAGAAGAC